TAGTCCACGCAGAACCGGGTGGTACCATCTTTCTTAGGAACCAGGACTACCGGCGATGCCCAGGGGCTGAGTGCTCAATAACCCCCAACTGCAACATCTCTTCAATTTCTTTTCTCATATGTTCCCGCACGGATTCGGGAATCCGATAGGGAGTCTGTCGCATGGGAAGCTGTCCCGGGGTTTCTACTCGGTGGGTGGCTAGTGGAGTGTACCCAGGTAGGTTAGAAAAGGCGGCGCCCTTGGTTGCTATCAGTTCTTGTACCTGGATACGCTCTTGAGGACTTAGCCGCTCCCCCAGTTGAACCCCCTGGGAGGGTTCCTTCTGCTCCTCCTGCTCCAACAGATCTGGAAGGGGCAGGTTCTCCTGATCTTCGGAGGCGGGCGTGCAAATAGCTGCCACGTCCTCCGTCCGCTCGTGGTAGGGTTTGAGCATGTTCACATGGAGCATGCGTCTCTTCCCTACTCCTGAGCATGGGCCGATCACATAGGTGGTATCGCATCTCTGCTCTACCACCTGGTATGGGCCCTGCCAGACGGCCTGTAGTTTATCGGTGCGGACAGGTTTAAGGATTAGTACCTTCTGTCCCACTTGAAAACTACGGTCTCTGGCCCCCCTGTCATACCAACGACGCTGTCGTTGTTGGGCGGCCTGGAGGTTGGTGCGCACTGCCTGGGTCAATTCCTCCAGGCGATCCCGGAACGCCAGCACGTAGGGTACAATTGGGGTCCCATCTGCGCTACTCTCTCCCTCCCAATGCTCTCTAATGAGATCCAACGGCCCCCGGACCCTTCTCCCAAATAATAGCTCAAATGGGGAGAAACCTGTGGACTCTTGGGGCACCTCTCTGTAGGCAAACAACAGATGGGGAAGAAATCGTTCCCAGTCCTTATGGGTCTCTCCGAATGTCCGGAGCATCTGTTTTAGGGTGCCGTTGAATCTCTCACATAATCCATTGGATTGCGGGTGGTAGGCGGAGTTAATGATCGGCTTAATGCCACATATCCTCCATAACTGCTGAGTAACCTCAGCCGTGAATTGCGTCCCCCTATCGGAGACCATTTCCTGTGGGAACCCTACTCGGGAGAATATCTTCATCAAGGCTTCGGCTACGGTCTCCGCGTGAATATTCGTTAGGGCAATCGCCTCGGGGTACCGGGTGGCGTAATCCACCACGGTTAGGATATACCGTTTCCCAGCGGGGCTGGGTTTTGGTAGTGGCCCTACTATATCCACTGCTACACGGCTGAACGGTTCCTCAATGATAGGTAGGGGACACAGTTTCGCCTTGTGGCGGTCCCCCCTCTTGCCTACCCTCTGGCACACATCACAGGAGGTACAATATTGTCTCACATCTTTAGAAATCCCGGGCCAAAAGAAAGCGTGCGTTAACCGATACCGGGTCCGGGTCATCCCTAGATGACCGGACAGAGGGATATCATGGGCGATTCTTAGTAACTCCTGCCTATACTTCTGGGGCACTACTAGCTGCTTAGTTTGGAGCGTCACAGAGTTGCCTATTGCCCTTTCCGCCACCCGGTATAGTAACTTCTTCTCCCACCTGTACTGTTCTCCCTCCCGCCCCACCTGGTCCGTATCTACCCTATCCCGGTATACCTGCAGTGTGGGGTCGGTCTGTACCTCTACTTCAAACGTGGACGGGGTGTCCCAAGTCATGTCTGTCAAGGGGGGGTCATGATTTCTTACCTGAGCCTCAGAGTGTGCGGGGAATGCCGTGGTGCGAGCCTGTTGCCGGGTGGTTACCGGATGCGCCTCTTGTGACGGGGCCTGGGGTAGAAAAGCAGAAGTCATCTGGCCCAAGTCATTCCCCAAAACAACATCGGCCGGTAGTTTTTTCATTATGGCCACTTCCACAACCCCCTCCCCAGCACCCCAATTCAAATGTACCTTGGCCGTGGGTAACCGGTACATGGCTCCCCCTGCTACCCGGACTGCCACTGATCCGCCAGTGTGGGCCGTATCTGGAATTAAATGGGGGGCCACTAAAGTCAAGGTGGCTCCTGAGTCCCGCAGCCCCTGCACTTCTTTCCCTCCCACAAATACAACTTGGCGGTGATGTTGCCGGTTGTCCGTGGCTTGCACAGACATCACCTCGTACAGAACCCCCAATGGTTCCTCGGTTGGTATACTTGTCAGCTCCGAGTGGTCAGGTTCTGCGTGGTAGAAATGGGCCGCCGCCCTGGGAACGGAATTCTGCCGTACCTGGTTCCACGCCTGCCTGCTACGATTCTGGGTGCACTCCCGGGACATATGCCCCCACTGCCGGCAGGTATGGCATTGTATGTTGGCCCTGCCGTTGTAGCGGGCTGGCGGTGGGGGGTTTCCTGGTGGTGGCCTGAACGGGGTAGGGTTGGCGGGTGTGGAGCTGGTTGGGTGGTGTTGTATTGGCGGTCTTAGGGGACCCCTGTTGGTGAGCCCGTGGTGTCTCCGGGCATCAAAGTGTTCGTCTGCCAATCGGGCGGCTGCTGTGAGGGTGAGAGGTTTTCGGTCCCTTACCCACTCCTGTGCCTCTGGTGACAGACCGTTGAAGAATTGCTCCAGCAAGATGAGTTGGCGCAGTTCCTCCATAGTGGTGGCTTGACTTGCCTGAATCCACCCTTGGGAAGCTTGGTCCAGCTTATGCGCCCATTCTGCGTGGGAATCTCTTTCGGGCTTTTTCAATCCCCGAAATTTCCGTCGGTATGCCTCCGGGGTTATGGCATATCTTTCTAGGATGGCTCTTTTTACTTTAAAATAGTCCTTGCTGTCCTCTCTGGGCACAGCGCGGTAAGCCTCTGCTGCTCGTCCCGCCAACTTGCCTGCCAGTAAGGGTACCCACATTGTCGGTTCCAGATCGTGCAGGTCGCATAGCCTCTCGAAATCCTGCAGATATCCGTCTATCTCATCCTTCTCCTCGCAGAATGCTTTAAATGCCTGGTACGGTATTTTCTGCTTTGTTGGAGGGCAGAATGAGTTGACGATGGATTCCGCCCTGGATGGTGACCTCTGGGGTTGCTGTGCCATAATGTAGTCCTGGACGTCGGCCATTAGCACGGTTAAGATGTCCAGGGTTACTGGCTGTGGTACAAATTCCAGCCGGGTTCTCAGTTCCCTCTGGTATGGTGTTTCCTCTCTGGCAGGTGGGGGTGGACTGCTGTGTGCTTGGTCGTCCTCCATTAGCTCTGCAATCAGTACTGCCTTCGATTTGTTGCTAGCGATTTTCCCTCTAGCCTCCAGCAGCTCCTTTAGCGTCTGTCTCTTTAACGCCGTGTAATCAGTCCCCATTCACTGATCGCTTTCGTCTGTTTGTTTCATACGAATTGCCTTTCCGTTCGGTTGTTCCTTTCATTCGAATGCGCTGTATTCGGCTGTAGAGTTGGATCCCGTCGCTTGCCACCAATTGTAGCGGAACGCCAATATTAAATCCACGAATTCCGCTGGTCCAGAAACGAATCCACAGTCAAGCGCTGAAAACACCAAGGCAATATCCCCAACCTCCCAATAACCGGACGAGACACAGTTTTGGGAGTCAACTGACAATCCTTTAATCGGCACGACAATTTATACAAGTCCCCATGCAAGGGGTTTCCTGAGTCCCTTCCCAGGGGCATTCCCAGAGGGGACTACATGGGGGACTTACAGTATAACATATTTCCCCCATCAGGCACTGCTGCACGAGAGGAATCATCCTCCCAGAATACACCGTTAAGGGGATTATCCCCTCGTGCAGCAGAACCGGCAATTCATACAAAAATACATAACTTTTAAAATACACGGTGGATTTACACGAATGGGCGTTCGGTAGTTAGCTGGGGTCTGGGCGCATCATTCGTGAGATTGCCGCTCAGATCCCATCTAAAATAACCGAACGCCGCACAGAAAACACATTTCTTTCCAAACACACGAAAAGAACCGATTACTTTTAGTGAACCTGGTTCTGAAACTCCCGAACGTCCTGGAGGCTCAGCGGTGTTCGTGCCGTCGAATAGCTATTGGTAATACTATGCGTTCGACAACACGAACCCGCTGAGGAACAAAGGATCCAAGATGGCCGACCGCCGCATGGTCGGTAGTCGAACGACGGCCACCCAGGAGAGCCTCTAATTACCGATTGCAACATTGTTGCAATCGGTTAACTAGCGCCACACGCCTCTAAGTGTGTGGGCTATTAGGGGGTGTCGCGTTCGTTTCACGAACGGCCCTCCAAAGTGCCGTTCGCGAAACGAACGAGAATCCCCATACAAACCGCCATTGGCATTCGGCGAAACCGGTAATTACAGTCCCCACAGAAATACATCCCGCACATACATAGGAATACAACGCATATCTCTCCAGACCTGTAGGCAACCCTTAAAGGCACAGTCTCTAGTTATGGTCCAAGTGGCTAGGTTTGCCACAATATGTGTTTTTGCTCACCTTTTTTGACCTACATGGCTGAGATTATCAATCTTTATGATCTCAGCCAAGCCAATGCATTCCCATAGGAAAAGGCAGACAGTTAAGCAGTGAGAATGCAGGGGCATGCTCTATAACAAAACATTATCTATTGCACATGCGCTAATAAACATCTCCTCCTAGAGATGCATTGAATCCGTGCATCTCTATGGGGAACGTTCAGCTATTCCATGCAGAGCGTAGGGATGCTGAATGTAGGACTAAGAATCACCTCTAGTGACCATCTGAGTTACTAGACAGCAATGTAAACACTGCACTTTCTCACATTATAGCCTTTCATCACAAATAGCCTGCAGGAAAAGGATATAGACACCAGCACTACTAAACTACACTAAGCTATAGTGGTTCTGGTGACTATAGTGTCCATTTAAGAATTGTATTTTTTTAGTTTAAAATTTAAAGGGACACTATAGTCACCAGAACAACTACAGCTTAATGGCACACTATAGTCACTAAAACAACTACAGCTTACTGTAGTTGTTCTGGTGACTATAATCCTATGCAGGCATTTTCATGCAAACACTGCATTTTCAGAGAAAAGGCAGTGTTTACAATGCCTTGAGCCTGGAAGCACCTCCAGTGGCTATCTGAGGAGTGGCCACTTGGAGGTGCTTCCAGGCTCAGTGCTGCACAGTAGGCAGCAGTTCCGTTCGGCGTCTCCACGCTCTGGATGGGGATGCTGAATTTACTTCATAGAGATGCATTGATTCAATGCATCTCTGTGAGATGCTGATTGGCCAAAACGGCATTTGGCCCCACCCCCTTGCCAATTTTAGCCAATCCGGCAATTCTGATGATGTCACCAAGGGGGCGGAGCCAGCGCCAGCGGACCTGCGCGGTGCTGGAAAAAAAGGTGAGTTTTATTTACTTTTAAGGGAGGCTAAGGGGAAGGGGGGGGGGCAAGCCACCAAAATTGTGGGTTTTGTAAATAATGTGGGTAGGAAATACTACATTAAAGGAACACTATAGGGTCAGGAATACATGTTTGTGTTCCTGACCCTATAGTGTTTCTTTAATGTATTTTTTCCTGTGAGTATAGTCAGTCCCTGCAGGCTTTTTGCTGTAAACATTGCCTTTTCAGGGAAAAGGCAGGGTTTACATTGCTCCCTAAGGACACCTCTAGTGGCAGTCACTCAGATGGCCACTAGGGGTGCTTCCTGGGTCAGTGCATGGAGATGTTGAACTTTCCCCATAGAGATGCATTCATTCAGTGCATCTCTATGAGGAGATGCTGATTGGCGAGTGGGGTGTTTGGACCCGTCCCCCGCTATAGTCCAAGGAAATTTGTCAAGCCCTGCGTTATGGGGCTGTGAACATAAAAAATTGCATAATAGTAAAATAGATATATTCTATTTATCTTTAGTCCTTCACAGCTCTGGTGTCACCTCAGCTGCTGATTCACCCATCTGAGATAGTTACTAATGATTCACTTAGACCACATACACACTGACAAACCACATACACACTGACAAACACATACACACACACTAACTGACATACACACTCATTGACAAGCACATATACACTATCAGTGACAAACACACATACAAACTCCTTAACAGACACACAATTTATTTTTTTAAATTCCACTCCACCCAGCCTCCCTACCTTTGGGAGTGCTGGCATGGAGTCTATTTCCCTGAGGTCCAGTGGGGCTGCTGGGCTGAGCAGCTGGAGTGCGGTCCCTGGGGTCCAGTGGGGCTGCAGGGCTGAGCGGTTTGCTGGTGGGCGGGGAGGAAGCAGTGATCTTCCTGCTCAGCTCCCGGTGATGACGTCATATTCCGCATCACTGCGGTTCGAGCGAGGGAGCTGAGCAGGGGAGAGTGCTCCCTTGCCACCCATCTCAATCTTTCTTTCCCAAAATTGCAGCAGAACCCCATTTGTGTTCCAATTGGGAAACGCTGACTTAGATGATGCAATTAGAGATTCAGTTTAGAGCATCCTCATAATTGATAATAAAAAAAAATGCTTCAACAAAATTTATTCAACTAAACATACAGTTAACTAATAATAAGTACTGTTTTTCTTTCAGTTTTTCTTGTGCAGCCAGCAAATGACTTTATTCTGAGCAAGGCTTTCCCTTGCATAATATGAGTAATATGTTGACACAGTCATGGCCTCTTAAAAAAAAATCAGACAGTATTTGCTATCAATGCTGCTGAGGGTGAAATATTTCTGAGATCCATTGTGCCAGGACCTGTTGTTTTTTCAAAGCTCTAACTGATCCAGACAGTTTAATTATTTGGAAACTTCTGTAAATTCCCAAGCCATTTGTTAATTACCTACTGTGGATGTGGGATAGAACAACATTAGATAAATAATCACTTGGGAGGATTAAGTTAAATTCCAATCATTCATTTGTACTTGATTTTACAGGTACAAGAAATCCTAGGTTAAAACCCCTTCAGCAGCTTACCTTAGTCCAGCGCCGGGCTCCCTCGGCGCTGGTGACCTCTCCCCCCCCGCCGACGTCAGCTGAGCCGCATGCGCATTCAAAGTGTCCATAGGAAAGCATTTCTCAATGCTTTCCTATGGACGCACTGTGTGATGGAGGCGAAATGTGCCTCCAGAGCCGCAGATGCGCCTCTAGTGGCTGTCAGGAAGACAACCATTAGAGGCTGGATTAACCCCAAATGTAAATATAGCAGTTTCAGTTTGCATCTGAAGGGTTAAAACCTGAGGGACCTGGAACCCAGACCACTTCATTGAGCTGAAGTGGTCTGGGTGACTATAGTGTCCCTTTAATTTATATAGCAGTAAGAGGGTCTGTTTTACAAAATAGCAAAAATATATTGTGGATAACTGATAGCCAACATTAAGGTGCTCCTAACTACTATATAGTATAATTTAGGGAAAGGCAACGGAAAGGGGGAGTAAGAAAGAGGTACAAAATGTTTAATTGGGACAGTAAAAATACTTAAAGGCACAACAGAACAGGAATTAAGTCACTTGTACTCTCTTGTGCAATTTCTAAGCAAGGTACCACTACAATAAGATTCTGATTGTAAAGATTTTCACAGAGCAACCTTATATACAATGGGATAAACGAGCATTAGTTGCAAACTCAGATTCTCTCTTTCAGAAAGGAGGATGTTACCCAGTCACGTTAAAACTATTGTTTCCAATCCCTTCCCTGAGAACCAAACCATATCTCTGTTGACCTAAATATCAGTCTTCATACCATAAGCCCTAAGTATGAATGACTGAGATGTGGTGCATTATTAGATGTGTTAGAGAAGAGACTCAAACAATGATCGGTATTGGTCCACGTTTTGTAATTGTTTAAAAGGTTACTCAAAAAAAAAACATTTAAAAAAATGCTTGTCTTTGTAAAACAATGTTTTGGTTGGAGTAAACCTCCCCATGTTGTGTCACTGTAACGATACAAGAAGCAAAAGGAAAGGAAAAGTGTTCGGAAAAAAAAATTACAGTGCCACTTTAAAATATAATAAATAAATATAATAAATTATTTTAACACTTCTAGCATTGTAACAACTACGGCACACTGCCACGGTTATTGTGTCAAACATGCCCTGGGGCCACCCTTATTGTGAAACCATTTTATAACAGTATGACTTCTTCCCTAAGCACCACCAGGCTTAGCTCAGGCAGAGAACTTCTGACTCTCTAAACGCTGTAATGGAGGTGGGTAGTTCCGCTCTACTGCAGAGCTTAGTTAATTTGAGCTAACAAACTCTTGGCAAGAGCTTCTAACTTTCAATACCTTAAGAAGAGAGCAAAGACCCAGCACCCAATAGGAATCCAGGTTACAATGAGCAGATGCCAGGATCCTGCCACAATAACCAATACACTGCACTAAAGTGGTTATGGTGCTTAAAGTGTTCCTTTACATCCCCTGTATTCCTTACCTTTTTTAGATTTATGGGCTACCCTTATTTTTAAAACAAAAGAAAAACCCACCAGGTTCCACCAATCCAATGTTAGCAGAGAAGCAATAAACTCACTTCCAGCTTCAGCATACTTTGCATACAAACGACTTACGTGAATATATTTTAGTCCAAAGCCCCTTGTGGCTGACTGATTGATAGCCAGTAAGGAACTGGGGATGGCAAAAAAAACAAAAACAGTGCTATTAAATGCCTTTGCTTTCAAGTCTTTTCTAACGGTTTGACAACTTACCTATCGTCCTTCATTGTGATAAGAAAGCTCCTGCATGTAGTTTCCATTCGCTCTCATGCGCTAAACACTGCCATGACATTGAATTTATGACAATTCTCACCTTAAGATATAACCCTGTTAATTGTGTGGTATGTGTATATGGAGAGGATTATCATTAAACTCTGTATTTTCAAGAATTAAATCCAAATGAAAAACGGAGGCAGAAATAAACGTTTCGGAATAATTCTCCATATCTGCCATAGTCACTACTTTATTGATATTTTTGCCTCAGTTTTGCCATTCGTATTTAATTTGCAAAAATTTTGCATTTAGTGAATAACCCTGGTAGTGTATCAGGAGAAAAGCTCTATGTGTTCTTAAATTTTATTTTATTTTCAAATTGTACGTTTGCACTTAAAACGAGAGGGGGAGATTTACCTGACAGAACAGTAAAACAAAACTTCTCGGGTAACTAAAATAAAAATGTAATGAAAGGATTAATATGTTGTGTCACCCAAAAAAGAGACATTAAAGGAACACAAACAAGTATTCCTGACACTGTAGTGTTAAACACCATCTATCCCCCTTAAATATAGTAAAATCTTATGTTTATTTCAGTTTGCTGCTGCTGGCTCTGCCCCTAATCTGCCTTCTTGGCTGACATCATCAGAAGTGGTGTTCGAGTGGCTGAAACTGTCAAGGAGGCAGATCAGGGGCAGAGCTGGCACAAGCCAAACACAGCCCTGGCCCAACAGCATCTCCTCATAGAAAAGCATTGAATCAATGCATCTCACTGAGGAAAGTGCAGTGTCTCGAAGCAGAGGGTGAAGTCACTGAATGTCAATGCTGCACTGCCCCAGAAAGCAATTCTAGTTGCTATCCTGAGGAGTGGCCAGTGAAGGTATCCCTAGGCCAGTGATGGCGAACCCATGGCACGCCGGGCCCTCTGTGGGCACACGGCCATAGGTCGCCGTAATGCAGAGTAGGCGCCTGCCCAAAACAGCAGACACCTACTCTGCTTGTGTGTCAGAGGGGACTGGGAAGCAGCTCTCCTGTCCTCCTGGGACAGGCTGTGTGGAGCGTTGCTGTACATTACCATGGCAATGCTCCACACAGCATTCTGCACGTGGGAGGACAGGAGAGCTGCAGCCAGAGCCTAGCCTACATACCACCACCAGACTACCAGGGCTGTCTCCCTCCCGGAGACAGGAAATTACGTCAATCAGGCACCTCCACCTCAGTGACATTTTCTTTTTCTTGGCGGCATCAGCGGAGGGAGCAGTGCTGGAACAGCAGGTAAGTTAGTGCTCCCTCGCGATCAATATTATGTGCTGAGAGGGGGATATGCTGAGGGGAGAGAAGAAGAAAATCTGGGGGAGAGAAGAGGAGATGCTGGGTGGAGAGAAGAAGGAGATGCTGGGGGGGAGAAAGGAAAAGGAGGAGGAGAATCTGGGGAGAGGAAAAGGAAGAGATGCTGGGAGGAGAGGGGGGATATGCTGGGGGAGAGAAGAGGA